CCCTGACGGTCGACTGCGGCGGTCGACCGTCTCCAACTCCAAAATCTGCCTTCGACCTGTGCACTTTTCCGGTCGACCGCAGCTGTCTCGCGGTCGACCAGCAGGCTTCCAAAAGTTTCTTGTACCTGTTTTCCTAAACTTTTCAATTGTGTTGCTAATTCTACAAATCTCCACCTCTGTGAAGTTTCTTTCGAAACTAAGCTGACACCAAAAACATCCAAATGTCATATTTGTTGTGTCCAGTATGAAGTGAAATAAATCCACGACAACGGACTCAATCCACAACAAGTCAAGAACCCGAACGAGAGATCAAACCCCATCAATATTAACTAATCCAACCGGCTGCATAAAAAACTGCATATGTATCCTCTTGCTCAAGGAATCAAGCCTCACGTAGTTCACCCAAATGGTCTCCAAAAGCTCTCAACAACGAAAAATGTTCAATAACTCCAAACAATGATCAAACTTCACGCCCAATATAACTTTGGTCAACATATTCGTAGGGTTATCCTTTGTGTGGATCTTCTCGAATATAACATATCCATCATCCAAGACATCTCGAACAAAGTAAAATCTAACATCAATGTGCTTCGTGCGTACATGATAAACCTGTTTTTTATCAAATAGATAGCTGACATGCTATCACAATACACCTGAATGGTCTCCTGTACAATCCTCAAGTCATCCAACAATCCGTGCAACCACAAAGCCTTATTTACAGCTTCAGTTACCGTCATATACTCCGCCTCCGTAGTAGATAGAGCCACCATATACTGAAGTGTACATCTCCAACACACCAATGCTCCTGCCAATATAAATACATATCCTGAAGTAGATCGACGTTTTGTCAAGATCCCCAGCATAATCAAAATCCATATAGCCAATACAATACTGTCTAATCTTCTCATTCTTCTGGAATAACAAACCAACATCCACGATACATTTGGTATACCATAAAATCCACTTCACGGCCTCCCAATAACCCTTCCTGGGGTCGTGCATGTACCTGGACACCATGCTCACAGCCTGTGACAAATCTGACCTCATACACATCATCGCATACATCAAGTTACTCACCGCACTGACATATGGAACCTTTGACATGTACTCTTTATTCTCAACTGAAACAAATAACAGCTTAGCTGAAAGCTTGAAGTGGAGAGCCAATTGAATACTCACTGTCTTAGCGTTGCCATCAAAAGTGAATTTCTTCAACATCTTCTGCAAGTAGCTCATCTGTATAAGCTTTAATCTCCCCTTCACCATGTCTCTCTCGTTCTCCATACCCAATATCTTCTTAGCTTCTTCAAGATCCTTCATCTCAAGCTCGGATGACATCTCCTTTTTCAACTTTCTAATAGCCAAAGAATTCCTGGAAGCAATAAGCATATCAGCAACATATAACAACAAATAAATATACTCACCATCATATAGCTTGTGCGTGTAAACACATGGGTCATATGTGCTCCTCGTGTATCCTTGGTCAATCATAAAGTTGTCGAATTTCTTGTACCATTATCGCAACGATTGCTTCAATCCGTGAAGAGACTTCTTCAGCTTGCACATCAAATCCTTCTTTTCTACAGCTTAAATCCCATAGGTTGTGTTATGTAGATCTCCTTATCCAAGTCTCCAAGCTGTTTTAATATCCATCTGGACCATATCCAAATCCAATTGTGCCACCAATGCCAAAAGAATCCTAATTGACGAATGCTTCACAACGGGTGAGAATATCTCGTTGTAATCAACGCCCTCAAGCTGGGCATATCCCTTGGCAACCAATCTGACTTTGTACCGAATATCTCCAATAGAAGATCCCTCTTTTTTTACATATACCCACTTACATCCAATAACCTTCTTTCCCTTTGGTAGCTTTGCAAGTTCCCAAGTGTCGTTCTTCTGAAGAGAGTGCATCTCCTCCTCCATAGCTTTCCTCCACCTGATCGAATCAGAGCTAGACTCTGCCTCCCTATATGTAGAAGGAGCCAAATTGTTAATGACCTTCACTGATAAAGCATATGTAACCAACACATCATTATTTCTAGCTGGCCGACGAATCACCCTTCTAGGTCTATTTGCTAGAATCGACTCCTGAACATGACCATGCTCTTGAGTCTCACTGACTATTGTATCCTCCAAATGCCCGTCTATCATCTCATCCCCTTCTAGTGTCACCTCTGTAGGAGCCTTAATAGATACAATACTATCTGGAGTTGGTGGAGTCACAACATCTTCTACTTGCTATGATATCCTACTAGTCTAGTCTTCCTCCACCTGCTGAGGGACTTGAGGCATCATGTACGTCTCATCAAACATGACATATCTGCTAATGACTATCTTATTGTCATGTGGATCCCACAATTTGAAGCATTTAACTCCTTCTTTAAAGTCCACAAAGACTATTTTTCTCACCCTCGGATTTAATTTTTCATCATTGACATGATAATAAGCTAGACACCCGAATATCCGAAGTGACTAATAGTCACTAGCCACCGAATCAGACCATAGCTCCATAGGAGTCTTCCCCTGTATCGCAGTGCACGACAACCTATTCACGAGATGGCTCGCATAAACCAACGCCTCGGTCCAAAAGGATCTCGACAATCCACTATGTGATATCATACATCGCACCTTCTCTAACAAGGTACAATTTAATCTCCCAGCCACCCCGTGATCTCGAAAAAACTATAGAAATGGATCACTCTTATACTCTCCTCTATTATCTGAATGAAGTGTCTTTACCTTTCTACCTGTTTGCAGCTCCACTTTCTTATTCCACTCCATAAAAATATCCAAGACCTCATGTTTATGCTTCATGATATATACCTAATTTCTCCTGGAACAGTCATCAACGAAAGTGACAAAATAGTTTGCCCCATCAAGTGATGTATGCTTGGAAGGACCTCAAACATCACTATAAATATAATCCAATATACTTTGGGTGTTGTGAATTGCGGTATCAAACTTCACTTTAGCCTTCTTCCCAAGTACACAATGCTCACACAACTCCATCTTGTAGGTCGTTGCACCTTTCAATAGCCAATGTTTTGCCAATGTTTGTAGGAACTTATCACCAGTGTGTCCTAATCTCATGTGTTATAAGCTGATCGTATCCTCCTCTGTAGTGATCGAAGTTGCCAAACCCCCTGTAATTGTCTTGCCTTTCAAATGGTATAGGTTATTTTCTCCTGACACCTCGCATCACCACCATAGACCTTTTGTGACATTCAAAGTGACATTCTCTAAGATCACCCGATAGCTCGCTGCCTCCAAAGTCCCAAGAGAAATGATGTTCTTCGACAACTGTGGAACGAACCTCACTTCCTTCAGCTCCCTAGTCACCCCGTCACACATCCTGATCTGGACTGTACCAATATCACCAATAGGGCATACATTATCATTACCTATAAACACGATCCATGTTGACGATCTAACTTTTCAAATAATAATCCTTCAGAGAATCTTCCAAACAAGCCCCAAGCTAAACCTGGTTCTGATACCACTTGTTGTGCGCAGCGGAACTCAAAACACACGAAAGAGCACGAACAAGAACGAGATAGCCCACAACCAAACGAACAAACACAAACCACAACAAGACAAACGAATTTTTCGTGGTTCGACAAGTTGCCTACGTTCACGGGGCAAGGAGGGGGAGTTTTTACTATTAGAGATAAGAGAATACAAATAGGGTTTACAATCTCACAAAAAAACCTCAAACAAAGCTCTCAAAATCTCTTACAAATTCTCCCTCAAAGGATGCACAATTCTCTCTCAAAAGCTGCTCAAAGTCGTCCTTAATTAACCCTAATAATTGTGATTAAGGTTATATATCAACACAGAACAAAACGGGTCAGAAAACATAACCCATACTCAGACCCGACTGACGATCGACCGTCGAATTTGTCGTGGTCGACCGCCCAGGAATCGGCAGAAACATAAATCGACTACAGGGTTTAGCGGCCGACCGCCGTGGTCAACCGTTCCCTGGCGGTCGACTGCAGCGGTCGATCGTGTTG